AGTGAAAAAAAAGAGATAATAGGGAACCCAATAATAATAAACCAGTAACACAGATAATGAGGATAATAAGAGAACTACACAAGTGAGAATGAGAAAGGAAATGTAATTATAGATACAGAAAAAATTTTAAAAGATGTTAGGTAAAACAATATACCAAAAAGGTAATACATTTTGATGAAATGTGGAAATTCTATAAAAATTGGTAATAACCAATACTGACTCAAATTTTAAATTTTTCATAGAAGTAAAATAAATAAAATAATTTTTTTCATAGAAGTAATTGAGAAAGTTTCTAAAGTCATGAAAAACAAAACTAAACCAAAAAACTACTGCCCGAAGGAAATTCTAACCAAAGCAGTCAGAGGGGAGGAGAGGAAACAATGTGAGATACAGAAAAAGGAAAGGCGAAATAAAAAAAACTTACAAAAAAATAAGATTGTGAGGTGGAAAACCCAGTGGAATCAGCTGAAAATACTTCTCTACAGAGAGTTCTAAAAGTTCCTGGTTATCAAGGTATTAAAGAGAAATAACTTTAATTTCTGCCAAGACAAGTTTGTTTGAAAATAATAGAGAAAAAAAATTTATAATAGTAGCAAAAAATAAATGTAGCCAGAAATATGTAGCATCTTTATGAGGAAAATTATAGTATTCTCCAAGTAACTTAAAAATCTTTAGTAAGTGAAGTGACATAACATTTCTCAATGATAAGAATCTATTCTGTAAGACATCAACTTTCCCCAGATTAGATTTATATCAATTTTAATACGTATCCTCATAAGAGTTTTTTTCAGAGGGAAGGGGAATTCCTGTGACCAACATTTATAAAACTCATCTGGCAGAATAACATATGAAAAGAATCAGAGTTGATGAATAGAGATTTGCTCTGTCAGAAATTAAAATAATGCTGTAAAAGTAACATAATTTAAAAGTATCATATGTCAGAGCGCCTGGATGGCTCGGTCCATTGAGCGTCTGACTTTGGCTCAGGTCATGATCCCAGTGTCCTGGCATTGAGCTCTGCAGCGGGCTCCCTGCTCAGCGGGAAGTCTGCTTCTCCCTCTCCTTTTGCTGCTACCCCCTGCTTCTGCTCTTTTGCTCTCTCTCTCTCTGTCAAACAAATAAAATCTTAAAAACAAAAACAACAATAAAAAAGGAAAGTATCATGTGTGCCAGAAAACATGGACAGGTAGATGGAATACAATAGAAAGTGTAAACGCAGACCCAAGTCTGGTACATATGTATACATTAGTATTATTGTATATAATAGATCATTGTTTCTAAGGTGCCATTGGCTGATTTCCTGTACTTCCAAGAAAGAAAAAAATGATTTCAATTAAACTATGACAGGCAGTTGATTAGGATGCAGACTGATTTCAAAAACATTAAAATGTGAAAAAAGTACGTAGTAGTTGAAAAACATATGACCCTAGTACTTAAGGTAGCAATTCAAATCATTGGAGAAGAGATAACTGTTCAAGTATTTTAAGAATCTAGTAGCAATTTGGGGAAAAAATTAAGTTGAATTAAAAAATTAAATGTAATACAATGAATCTGTAAAAGTACCAGGGGAAAATATAGATTCATATATAATCTTAAAATGAGGAGGCTTCTCTTAAAAGCAAGACGCTGTACAGCAGAAAACCTCAGATTAAGATAATTGACAAATGACGAGTGCAAAAAAAAAAAAACCTCTCAAGATTGGTGATGAGGGCAGGTCTTACATAGCAAGACAGGATGCTGGCTTTGCAGTCCAGCCCATACAGTAGAGAGTACATGAGACTACAAGCAGGATCTCAGTGACCACCCCCTGCTCTGTCAAAAAGCCAGGAGGAAAACTGGTTGGTAGCAACATCGATCCCTGGAATTATGGAAAAGGAAACATAATTGTGTGATTTTAGAAACCCATCTAGTCCCTTCCACGTGATTGCTGGAGATGCCTTTGGTACCAGCTGAGCTCTCAGAGCTGCCATGATGACCGCGTGAAGCGACGTCAGTACCAGTACCTCATGTGCTCTAATAATAGGCAGTGGCACAGATTTTGCTAACTGCACTAGCTCTTGGTTTTCGCCTCATGTTTTTGAGGATTTTCTTTTATGATTGTGTATATTAATTGACTTTTGCTGAGTGGTTTCGTTTTATTTTGGGTTCTGCATTAAGTACTTTGTTTTTGTAGAGAAGTGATTCTGATTTTATAGGGATGCTGGTTGATGTGGCATCTCAAGTGATTAGTTTTAAATTGCATTATTGTACTCTTTATCTACTCTTCCAGTTGTTAATGAAGTTCTAAAAACCCTATCTGTAAATGTGTCCGGGCTTTATATTTTATCCCATAAAGGGACCCTGTTTGTTTATTATAAACCTTTTTCTTCTTATTTTTTAACTTGGCTATTTTTGTTGCATAGAATTCAATTTTCTGAAGAGTATAAAGAAGTCAGCTGGATGCTATATAAATATCACTGTCCATTCTGCTTTCTAAGAATTAAATTATACACCTAAGTAGATAATTCGTCTTCACCCTTTTTCTTGCACTGAGCTTAGCTCTGTCTACACATCTGTGTCTAGTCTGGTAGATTGCAACGCAAACACACCTTAGCTGTTCCACTCTGAGCTGTGGTTGTGACAGCCAACTCCTGATATTGGTGCATTTGCCATTCACTTTGATACCTTTGAATTCCAGAGGTATAAACTAATACTTGTTAATGCACATTTAGTGACTTTTCCTAAGGCCTTGATTGGAACAGGCGTGCAAGAGGGTTACAGCCCCAGGGGCTTCAGCCCCTTCCTGTTCTTTCCTTTCTGGATGTACAGTGATTCTTAGGAAGTGTTAAAAAGAAAAATCCTGTTTATGAAAAGGGGCCATCAAGTAGGAGACAACTTTAGTCAGAATTGAAAGGCAATTCCATTTTGATGGGAGGATAAGGCATGAAACACGGGCTTTCAAGAAAATGTGATTTGGAAGATAGCCAGATCCTCGATAATCAGTTCCACATGTATAATTTGGGAATTTGCAAAGGCTGGAGGACAGGACCCCCGTGTTGTACCATGTACATGGGACGTGTGCTTCTAAGATCATGCCAATTGTCACTGAGTTTGCAGTGTCCAAATTCATTATGTTTCGTTTAAAGTATTTTTTGATAATGGAGTGTAAGAGAAGTAATCCTTATGGTACTAAGGCAGATAGATAAGGATGTCTTTCCTGTCGAATGTAGAAGAACTCCCACAACAAACAAGAAAGAGTAAAAATGAGAGTATGGTTAATGTGTAGGGTTAAAAATAAATTGCACATTGATGGTGATAAAGAGACTTAAAGTGCAAGCATGTATCACTGTGGCCCCTATGAAATCCTTTTGTGCACTGGGAAAAATAAGAGATAACAGAGTATAGTCTTCATGAGAAAGTAGTTTGGGTCAGAGCCACAGTCCTGCATTCTTTCATTAAGTCAGTAAACATTTTTCAAGTTCCTGCTATATAGGCCAGGCATTTTGCTAGCTGAGGAAGTGGAACTGAAAAAATAAAATCTCTAGGCCACGATACATGCAGCCTAGAAAGAGAGTCAGGAATAAAATCCACCATGATACACCGAGTGATCATTTTTTTTTCTCTCCAAATTTTCATGTAAATTCTAATTAGTTCACATATAGTGTTAACATTGGTTTCAGGAGTAGAATTTAGTAAAATAAGCCAGTGGGAGAAAGACACATACCGAGGGATCATCTTAAGGGCAAAGGAAAGAGAAGTGGGCCACCTCCAGGATCTATGGTGAAGGAGACTAAGGTGTTAACTGGATCACAGGAGGGAGCATATGGGAGCAGTGGAGGCCGGTGAAAAAGCACAGGTCAAGGTGTGAGCAAGCGGGATGCTACCAGCAGTGACCGGAAGCAGGTACAAGGGCACAGAGCAGCAGCGTGTGGGAAACGGTGGCCTTGGGGACTGGCCCAAGCTGGGTTTGAATTTTAGATCTAAGCCTACCTGCTAAGTGAACTTGAGCAAATGACTTAACCTTTCTGAGACTCAGTTTTTCCATCTGTGAAATAGGGATGGTCACAACTACCTCACAAGCCTACCTGCTAAGTGAACTTGAGCAAATGACTTAACCTTTCTGAGACTCAGTTTTTCCATCTGTGAAATAGGGATGGTCACAACTACCTCACAGTAAAGATCACATGTGTCCTGAACAGAACTCTGTGATTATATATTCAGAGACAGAAGAAATAAGGATTTAACAACACTTGTTAAACCCAGAGGTAGAAGGTCACCAAACCCTTCAAAGAGAGGCCACTAGGCTCAGAATCCCATAGAACTAGTTCAGCCAAGATTTATCATAATGTTGATGTAATTTTCCATTTATATTGACTCTACATTTGACCTTCTAAGAGAAGCCAAGATTTAGGTGGTTATGATTTTCTTCAAAGATTCATTCTGCTTTTATTTCTAAACAAACAGTCATTTTTATTTGCATTTATTTGTAGTATCCAAAGTTGTCTGCAAATAGGATTCTCCTGGATACAGAGGTGCTTATCTGAAATTTGAGACCGTCTATGTGAATTGCCTATTTTCTGCATTCTATTTTGTATGTAATTGTGTTTTTTAACTTTTGGTTTCTCAGTCAGGAAAGGCAGTCTGTGTGACCCAAAATTCTGATGTGCATCAAAATTGTTCTCTTGGCAAGTGTACAAAAATCCAATTAGTCTCCAAAGGACAAAGTGTCTTTGGGGACTCAACTGATCTAAAATTCGTGACCGAGTCTGGAAGAAAATAGTACTCTAGGATTTTTTTTTGAACACGGGCAACATACATTTAGGACTATGTGAAACAAGTTCTCATATAAATTAATTCAGTTTACTTCTCTAGCTTATATTTGTGAGGATCTGTTTGCTTCTTTGGAGATTCCAAGCATTCCTAATACGAAATTATAAGACAGTCTTTGGGGAGGGAGATTTTAAAGTCAATAAAAACTGTAATAATAATAATATTTACTCAGATTTCTTGGATTGTTATAGGGGTTTGCCAACTTGTTAATAAGATGGAGGAGAATACTGGCAAGGTTAAGCCTTTCAACCGAAATGATGAACAGTTCCTGGAGGCTTTTGTCATCTTTTGTGGCTTGGGGATCCAGAACACACAGATGTATGAAGCGGTGGAGAGAGCCATGGCCAAGCAAATGGTCACACTGGAGGTGGGCTGGCACATGCGGGACCCTCTCCGTCTCTGTGGCCACACACTCAGCTTCTTCCCTTTCCCCCGGAACCACTTGTTGGGGACACTGTCTCCTCAGAGAATCAGACTGAATCCTCATATAGATAGCTAAGAAACTGACACTCAGAATATTGTAGAAACTTACCAAAGGTCGTATGACCAAATCAGAACTCAGACTGGCTTTCCCTTTACTCCTTCAGCCTTAAGAATCCAGTCACACAGACATCTGCTGTCACCTGCATCCTGTCCCTTTCCTGTTGCCTGAGCTTCCCCATCTCTTTGTGAACAGTTGTAGTCACACATCTTAAAAGATAAAAACAGAAACCCGAAGCACTTGGAGAATCAGAAGTGAGGCATGGGAAACCCCTTCAGATGACAGATTTACGGATCCCACTTCTGAAAATCCTGATTCCTAAGTCTTCAGAAGAGGCCAGGAATCGACATTATTCCAAGCTCCCCTGGTGATTCTGAATGTGCGGGCAGCTAGTGAGCTACTGGCTTGGGACATGACCTTGAGCAGGCTCCCTCCCACGTCGGACTAGCCTGCCTGAGCCGGGCCAGCCCTTTCCAGATGACTTCCATGAACTGTCTGAAAATGTCCACTTTGTATAACACAGAAGTGTCTTACATCAGAGACCAGTTTAGGACAGACTTCAAAAGGGCAGTGTCTTATTCATACACTGGCATGAAATATATTTGAATGTTTGCCTACTCTTAGTTGATTGAGATCAATGCATATCAGTCTTTGGAATATGGTAACTTTTACTCCAATCCTCTAAAAAAACACCTCACCTAAGTAGCTCAAAAGATATACATTATAAAGATTTACCAGTAACCAACATGGTACACTTTAATTTCTAAAACGAATATATAACACTAATAGTTTTGCCATAGTATATAAGAGATCTTGGATTATAAGCCATTGGAAATCTTTTTCAAATACACACACACCTATGTGTTTGTTTGCATACATATGTACACACAAATATATGTGTATACATATGTACACACATACCTCAAGTTACACTTATAGAATACATATGTACACATGTAGTTTCACACATATATACATATATACACGTGTGTGCATGTGTGTGTAAGTATATAATTTTTAATCAAATTTTTATAGTTCCCACAGTTTTATACTGAATTGAATCTAAGCCAGTTATCAGTTAGAAATTATCTCTTTTTGTAAAACTTTTTATTATGGGAAATTGCAAGCGTATACAGAAATAGAATACCTTAGTGAGCGCCCATGTACTCATTAGCCGTCTTTAGTTTAACCCTGAAAAATATTTTCCTGTTCTTATGAGGCACTGGATAAAAGCCAGGGACCCAAACTCGTCAGGTTTTCTTATGGTGGTGAATTATTTTGACCTGGAAACCATGATCATTATAATGACAATAAAACAACAACAATAATAATAGCTAACCTTTATCAGATGTGCTTACTGTGTGTTCTAAGGCTCACAGGTACAGACATACCTCATTTTGTGGTGCTTTGCTTTATCGCCTGTCACAGATACTGCATTTTTCATACACTGACCGTCTGTGGCAACCCTATGTTGAGCAGGTCTATTGGCGTCATTTTGCCAAAACATTTGCTCCCTTCATGTCTCTGTGTAGGATTTTGGTAATTCCCACAGTATTTCAAGCTTCTTTTGTTATTATATTTGTTGTAGTGATCTGTAATAGTGATTAGGACCTGTTGAAAGTTCAGGTGATGGGTTCACTGTTTTTTTTTAAGCAATGAAGTATTTTTTAAATAAGGTATTATATTGATTTTTTAAGACATAATGCTACCGCACACTTAATACACCCTAGTGTCAGCATAACTTTCACATGCACTGGGAAACCAAAACATTCATTTGACTCACTCTATTATGATATTGGCTTTGTTGCAGTGGTCTGGAAACCCGCAGTATGTCTGAGGTATGCCTGTATTAACAAAATTAATCCTTACGGCCTTATGAATAAGGTACTATTTTTACCTTCATTGAGACAAAAATCTTTTTTTTTTTAATTTAGAATGACATGTTCTTCCCATAACCATTCATCTGTGTTGCATTGCATTTATTTATATCAGACTAGTGTATGGCCACAGTCTGCACTTTCCCCAACACACTAGCTCTGTGGTCCCAGCAGCAACGCATTAGCCGCCATGACCCATCGATGCCATGTAAGCAGAAGACAGCAGCTCCAAGTTTCCCAGGCTTTCCTAGTGCTTAATGGTTCAAATGTGAAGACAAACCTGATGTAGTACAGGATTATAAATGTTCTGAATCACAAGATAGGAGATACATACACCATTTTAGATTTTCAATTGCTTCAAATTTTAAAGACTGGTTCAAGGAAAACTAGTTCAGGCCTCTCAGTTACTCAGGTCACCGTTTAAAATCTGAAAATGTCTCGCCTTCTTATCAATCATACTAAAATCTTTGGGGCTTTTAGTAAATCTGTATTGTCTCTGTCAAAAATGAACTTTCAAAAATATTTTTTAAAAATATGGTAGATATTTTAAATATGACCACTACCTCAGATAAAATATTATCCCATTACTTTGAAGTTATTACTTTTGAAATCGAGAATTAATGACTCTTGCGTTAAGGTATAAGACAATGGTAAGCCTGTCTTTTTAACTCTACTCAGGTAACTGAAAGTGTACTAGAGTAGGAGTTGAAAGCAGGCCTCCCTGTCCTCTCACTAAGTGTGAGCTTGCCACCAAGTCATGAGAACACCTGTGCCTCAGTGTCCTCAGATGTTCACAGAGGGGTTTACAGGCTAGGGCTATGCTTCTTCGCTCTTGACACATGAGTGGAAAGGAATCCCTGAATCTGTATGACATTATATTCCAGCCATGCAATTTTTCTTTATGAAATTCTACGCTGGTTATGGGCCTCATCTGAGGGCCACTTCTATACTGTCTTTCCAAATATCAATGTTAAAATGTCAGTGTATGCAAAGATTTTTTTTCTTAATTCAATACAAAAGTAAAAAAAAAATTAAAGTCACTATTATTTTTTAAAAAGCAGCACAAAAAGAAAAAAAAATTACAAAATAAATATCCTGCCAAGTCTGAGCCAGTAGCATGGCTGATAAATAATGTGCAGAATAAAAGTGACAAGACTTACTCTGCATGTAGGGAGTATAACTTTTTGTCTTCTGAAACATGCAATCGAATCAAAATCTGGGATTTTTCTTTCTGTTGAAGAAAGCAGGAAACAAGATTTGACAGTTTGAGGTATCTAGTTCGGTCTCCAGGAAGTTTTTAGCAGAATCTCAAGCTTAAGACTGTCAAAGTCTACATTCAGTAGTCCTCTCTTGGATAACCTGTTTTCCTTTGTTTCTTATCCTGTAGGTTCTGTCATATCATGCTTCAGCAGCAGAGGAAGAAACAAGAGAACTCCAGTCCTTAGCGGTAATTCTCTTTCTTTGTTAAAGTGACTAAGTGCCAACATCTAATTAATACATAAACATGGTTCTCTTAGGATAACTGCTTCTAGTAGCAATGATCCCGTTGAATTCAATGTGGTAAATACGTAGATGGACATTCATAAAAATGTTTAATTCTACTTTCTTGTAAGGCTACAAAGTCACTGAGGATACAAAGCAAAAGATAACATACTGACTTTGTAATACATTATATGATTCTGATTTTTTTTTCCAGTAATGTTATACCTTTCTTAGGCCAAAACATAACTTACCTTTCAGTTCCTGGGGAAATGTGGCCTGGTGACCATGAGGTGGTGGCTTGGTAAGGGTAATGACAGCAAAGATTTTGTAGTTTGTTGCCAATAACCTGCTCTGCCTTATTGAGAATTGAGAGTGATTTTAATGTCTGACCATGTGGCTTATGGAATGTTATTTGAAATTGGGTTCAAATAAGGTCAGTTCCTGAATGCTCATTATGTTTTTTATTTAGTATGCTATGAGAAAAAAAAATCCTTATATGTAAGTAGAATGTTAAATGTTCTCGGTCTTGGTTGAGATCATTTGAGACACTTACACATTGACAACAAAGGCAAGTGGCCTTTTGAGTTGAAATTTACTTGGGGCAACATGGAGAAGGTCTACGTGAGATGTGACGAGAGTCTGTAAAGAATGAGAAGGGTGCGAACAGATGATTGAGATTCTTTTTCATTGTCATCGTCATCATAGCTTGCCAAATGCCAACCTGCTATGGCCTTACGTACGTTTCCTTATGTAATCTGCACAGCTGTGTTATGGAGGCCACCCTGAAGCTAGAGAAGCCAAGTGACTTGCTCAAGGTCACACCGGCAGAAAGTAGGGAAGTCAGGATGCGAGCTCATGTGGTCTAGTTCCAGAGGTCATGCACAGACCACTGTACTGTCTGTTATGAGCTGTTAGAGAGACAGAAGATTAAAGATGATTGAAGTGCTTTGACCTTCATAATTCAAAAACTGATGGTGTCATTAACTGTCAAGAGTGGAAATGTTAAGAAGGGAAAGTGGTAGATTTGACTTAGAACGTGGTAAGTGTGAGGCTCTGGTAGAATCACCAGAATGGACATTTTCAACAGTCAGTGGAGTCAGGACTAGGGGCGGGGTGTGGAACCAGATTTGGAGGTCCCACCATGGGGTTTGGGGGTGTCCAATGGGAGTGGAGCAGTTGGGAGAGGGGTATGGAAGACTGAGGGCAGAACTCTTGGGAATCAAGTTTCAATGGAAGAAGTAGGAAAGGAACCTGATTGAGAAGTGGTAGGTAAGCAGGGAGGAAGATTTAGGATAGGGCAGTGGTGCAGAAGGCAAAGGGACGAGTTTCAAAGGGGAAGGAGGGCCCATCAGTGGCAGGAAGGTTGAGAAACAGGACTGAGAGAGGGCTGCCGGGCTCTGATCACGTGATTGGTAAGGAAGCAACTTTAGGTGTAAAACTGCCCGAGGTAAGAGTGAATGGTGACAAAATGGAGGAAATGAATCATAGCCTAGTTTTAAAAGTTAAGTTTTATGTAAAAGTGGGAGTGGAGAAGTAGTTATGAAGGGTATTGGCTGAACCATGTGAAATTTTGTGTTTTGGTTTGCTTAGTTGTTGTGTGCGGGGCTTGCTCACAGCTAAACCAGCATGCTCTTGGACAGAGGGTGAAGGTAGGGGGTTGAGTGAGTGCAAGGCAGGGAAGAGATCTAGACCTTGGAGCAGCCTAGGCATTGAGTGAGACAAGAGGGAAGGGATCATAATAATAATAGTATTATTGAGCACTTACCATATACCTGGCATCTTTGAAGTTCTTTGCGTGTGTTTAGTATATTTAGTCCACAGCAACCCCATGAAGTCAGTACTGGTTAGCATTTGGAATTTGAGGAATTTGAAGTTGAGAGGATCTCAGGATCTCCCGGGTGGTAAGTGATGGTGCAAGTACTACATCCAGGCAGCCCGCACACCCAGAGCCCACACTCCATTGTGCAGCACTGGAGAGGTATAATGAGCTAGAAAAGAAGGAAGGAGGAGAACTTACAGACGTTCTCAATTAAATCAGTGAGTGGGAAGTGGAGTCCTTTGGCAAGAACAGTTTCAGAAATTGAGGTGATTTGTCCTGGAAGGTTAAGCTGCTTCTTTTGGGGTTAGCCTTATTCCGAGGTTCGGTGGGCTGTATTTATTTTGTTCACGAGGTATTTGAAGAAATGAGCAGTTTTTCAGTTATTTACAAAGGTTTATAGGTTTTAAATATCTTTCACATCAGGCTTAATTGCCCCACTTGTCTAATCCTCCGAGGATGATGAAGTTTTGAACTAAAGACATACTGTGAGTTGGAAATCATCACTTGGAAAGACATCTTGAAGTGCTTGCAGTCACTGCAGGAGTATTACATTAGTTCTAAAATGAGGACAAGGTTACAGTCTGCTATGTGTTGTTTTAGATAAATAGAAACTAGCAAATAGAGCAATGTCTAAAGATAATGCTGGAAAAATCACTTAGGTTATTAAACTTTGCTTTTCACTTTGAAAACAGCAGTCCTTCAGAAAAATTTGAAAGTTATTTTCTCAGTTATTTTCATAATTTTAACCAGACAAAAACCCTTTGCAGTAACTGAAAATTGCCATATTGCAGTATTGTTCAAAGCCATCTGTTGTTTCATTTGGAAAATAGATTTCTGGCAGCTGCATTGAGAAATTTAGGGTTATAAGCTTGTAGGTCAAGTACTTTATTTAAATTGGTTGAAATTCAGCAACTGAGTTCAATGCTGGTTTTCTACCAATCTAATAAAAATTCCTTTACAGCCCCAACTACACAGGTGTCTTCATTATCCAGCAACTACCAAAGCTGCTGCCTTTGTCATGTATCTGATGATTTATATCAATTCAAAACCTAAAATAAATCGAAAAGCTGTGTAATGTATTCTTAACTTTTATTTTTTACAAATTAGTTCTTGAATTAAATAATATACTTCAGGATGCTAAATATTTATGCCTGTGTCCAGAAAAGTTCTCCAATTACAACAGAAGTGTAACAAAGTTGACAGGAAACTCAGAATCCTTATTATTTTTTTCCTTGTTTTACCTGAGGTTTTAATCTGATTTCTCTTGACTTAAAATTGGGTATAGCAGAAATAGAAATTAAGCTTCTACCATATCCCGTTTAATGATCTTTAGGCACAAATTGTATCGCATAAAAATAAATGGACCCCAGCTACCTGGTTATGGTTATTAGAAAATTATTAGTTAAGATGTCAGAGAGTAATCAGTGTTTATTTCCAGTAACTGAATATTTGATTGACAGATTGCCCTTTCTGCTTTCCTCTCTTGTTAGAAGAGCAATAAGTAAATATGTCTTAGAGTTTAGTTTTTTAAAATAAGCTTCTCAGTTTTGTCACGGACTCGGTGCTTTTTCAGGTCAGTCCGTACAACTTCTGTGATCAGACGTAATGTATCTAAAAGCAAACAGAGCCTTTTGTATCCTGAAAGGTTTTCTGCTTCAAAATAGTGAGAGAGGAAGAAGCTAACCACTTAGGCAGGATTTCCTAGGACAGAATTTTTTTCATCTTGACCTTAATCTTTCAGAACCAGAAACTTCACAGGAACTCCCTTGATCAGGTGTGTGTGTTCCTGCTGTCACCTACAGCAAAGCTGGCTCCCTGACCCACATCTCTGATGTCTTGGTCAGTGTCAGAGTATAGATCCAATTCCTTGTATCAAGATGATCATCACGTTCCCTCATTTTTGAGGAAAATCTGTATATGGACAGTCAAATTACAAATGGAAAATTTTGAACCGATACTAACAAAGAAGAGTTGACGTTATGATCTCGATAACCAGTGTCCCTGAACTGTAGTAACCTATGGCATCTAGTAAGGCGCCCTCTTCCTCAAACAGGTGCTAGAATTACCCTGAAACCATCTGAGTCCTTTGGACTTCCTGTTCGCCATCAGTTGATACATTCATTTTTTATAGGTGTCTGTAACACTAACTGGGCTATATCTTTTCCGCATTGGCAATAGATTCTGTTTGATTCTTCCCTGTTTCCCTTTGGCAAGCTAATCTTATCTTTTCTGCTCTGATTTTCCTAGTGGATTACTTTCAACGGTAATCTTAGCTCCAAAGTATAGTGGCGCCGTTCTTGAACTTCTTATCCTAACTAGATGTTAACCAGATCTGTGCTAATTATTCCTAACTGTAGTCAGAAATTTACCTTGAAGGTTTTACTTAAAAGCATATATACATTTTATCAGAATCTTGACATTGTCATGTGCCATCTTTACATGGTTTTGGAAAACCGTGTGCTCATTATTTTTTACAATCTGTGCCTCTTCACCATGAGATTTAAAAGATTACATTTATATAATATTAGAAAGAAAGAAAAATCATAAAACATGTTGATGTAGTTATTAAAGAAAATATGCTAATCCTGTCCTGCTTTGCCTTATTCACTTCTTTATTCTGTGTTAAGATTTGGTTCTTTGAATATTCACCTCCCTTTATATAAGTAGATTTCTTTCTTGTATGCATTTGGATTCACTTCGCTCTTAGAGAAAGATAAATTCTAACAGGTTTTTGAATGGTGTGGATTTTTTTTTCTTTAAGAACATATTTTCTGTGCATGGTAAAAGTGGGGAAGAGAGACATTAGGCTCCTGTAAAGTATAATGTGATGGCTGTCAAACGGCTTTATTCAAGACCTGGAAGCCAAACTGGTCCACTCTGTGTAACATGGCGCTCCACTGGGTGGGGGGTAGGGATCAGGGACTGATGGGCAGAGCCCAAAACGCCTAACTGAGGATCCCTCCTTGTAGCTACCAATAAACTCGTCAGTTATCTTACATTAATTTTATCCCTGAAAATGATTTCCTTGAAGAATGGATCATTAAAGAAAATCTCTTTTCTTCCTAACATTTATATTGAATAAATATCCGGAGGAGTAATGTAACACAATGCCTTCATGAAACACTGAAGCAAATTGGAAGAATCTG